TGAAGGTTGTAGTACTTCTTGATCAGCACATATACGGAATAGAATAATAAGAAAAAGAAAGAGAAAAAAAATAAAGAAGAGAGAGAGAGAATGAAAGAAAAGAGGAAATGAAAGGAAAGGAAAAATAGAGGAAAATAAGAAAAAATAAATAAAGTTTTATTTATCTTGTTAAGTAGTTTGAAGTGAGTAGATTTTCATCACTCAAACAACAATATGTTTTTACTAAAAGGTTTCAGTTGATATATATGTTAATGTTGACTTGTTTTATGAAATTTTAGAAGTGTATTCTAGTTTGATGTGAACTCATGTTTATTATGAACTAAATGAGATAATGATAATGGCCAAATTTTTTACGAATAATAGATTCTATGATAGGAGCCACATAAAAGAGGTTGATTCCCTTGCTTGTATTTGTTAATCTGATTGCTCTGGCCAGCTTGATTGTACTTTTGACTCCCCTTTTGGGTTTGCTTTGCCTGAGCTTGTTCTTTTTTCTTGGCTTCCCAAAACTTGACTCTCTCTTCTTTAGCTTGAGCCACGTGATATTCTGCTCGGATTGCTCTACTGACACAATCCGCCACTGTTGTGGGTGGTCTTTCTCCACTGTCCACTACCGTAGCAATTTCAGGGCAAAACATTACTAACATTCGCCACACCCTTTCTATTTCTGTTGGCACTAGCTAAGGGCATAGCCTTGCCAACCGGTCGAATTTACAGCAAGCTTTCGTAACAGTCCTATCATCTTGTTTCAAATTATTGAATTCATTTTGTTGGGCTCGAAGACCTATAGTATCATAATACTTAGTATTGAACCCTTCCAAGAATTCATTCTAGTTCATTGCTGCCACACTTCTTCTCATTACCACCGGCTCCTCCTATTAATGGGCATCTCTCTTCAGTACAGGTGCCATTGGTGGTGCCGGTTCAAGTTGAACAGGTGGCACTCTTGTTTGCTCTTGTTCTTCATTTCTTTCCTCTAACTGTTCTCGTAAATTCTTATTTTCGTGTTCTTGAGCCTCCAGTTTGGTTCATAAATTAGCTATGGTGGAAGCTAAGTCCACATCTATTTTAAGTTAACATTCCTTCCAAGCTGACAGAGTTTTTAGCTGCTAGCTTGGAAGGGGCGTTACAATTTCCTTGTATCATTTCTTTTTATCACTACAACAAAAAGAGTTATTAGCGACGACATTATTAGCGACGACATTTATCGTTGCTAATAATAGAAGATTAGTGACGTCACGTCGTTACCATAAAGAAAACAAAATTTTTGAACGAGTTGTCATTGCATTAAATATTTGCAACGACATGTTGTTGCATAAAATTTAACTATTTGCGATGACATGTTTTCCCTATAATTTGGCAAATTATTCACGACAACATGTCGTTGTTAATAGTCATTGGCACCAAAACCAATCGGGCGCCCATAATTTTAGTGCCAGTTTATCCATTATTTGAGACATTATGTCGTCGCTAATATTGACACTTATAGCTGGCAATGACGTGGCCAAAAAGAGGTAGAAAATATGGCGATTTCCGGCAAATAGGTTTCAGATATTTCTTTATTTTTTGCGATGACATATTGAAAAGTCGTCGCAAAAAATAGTTCCAGAAAATTTTGTCCAGAACGACTGCATTTACGACAACACGCGTCGTCGCACAAAAATGGTTCTAGAAAATGCTATCAAGAATGACGGTTTATTGCGATGACTTTTTTAATAATGTCATCGTAAATAATTGTGGGATTTAATTTTCCCCAAGAAAAGGTAGAAACTTTGGTGGTTTCCTGAAAAGTATCAGTGACAACATTTTAACAGTCTCGTCACAAAATAGAGAACGGGAATATTTCTCAATAATATTTTCTGAAATATTAATGTGGTGAAGAAGAATGACGTCATTTTTCTTGCAATTGCGATGACATTTTAATATTTTTTATGACGACATATTGTCGTTGCAAAATCTAGCATGTATAAACGCAATCACAGATTGCTTTTCTCTAATTTTTTCGGCGTTTCTCTCCATTTTCTTCCTCCTTCTCCATCCAAAACCGCCACATACCGTCCAAAACCTCCGAAAAAAGCTTAAATAAATCATTCTCCCTTCAAATCCTTCATTTGTGGTGAAAAATATTCTGAAAAAGTCCAAAAAAGTGGAGTTTTTGTCTCGCCGTCGTCGCCCATTATTCTGGCCGTCGCCGCCCCTTATTCCGGCCACTTTCGCCCCTTATTCCAGCCACCGTCACCCTCCCATTTGGTTGCCTTACCATTTTCCAACCCCCGGTGTTTGTGGGTTTAGATTTTCTGAGTTAATATTTTGGTATTTTGTAAATTAATTTTAGTATTTTTGTTATGGTTTGTGGTTTTATTTTAAATTTTGGATTTAGTTTGTGGTTTTAGATTTAGAATTGTGAATTGTAAATTAGAATTGAAATCAAAATTTGTGGTAATTAGATTGAAATTTGTATGAAATTTGTTTGATGATGATTATGTGATGATGATTAAAAAATAAGGGACCTATGAAAGTGATTGATTTAAAAAATACTAAATTATATCTATAATGACTAAAAAAATTAGATACAAATTTTAATTAGTATTATATTAATAATTAAATAATTAAATAAACTAATGTTAAAGACTTATTATAAATTTTCTTTTGCTAATTTTCATAAAATTTGATAAAGCTTTATAAATTCTTCGTAGTGGAGATGCCTATGTGCAGGAGTTTGATAGATTTAAGGAACCGGTGTTCTGATGAGTATTGGGATGGTTTGTGTGCTTTTATTGAGGTTGGAAAGAATTATCCAAATTCAACCAGGGGTATTAGTTGTCCGTGTATCAAGTGTAGAAATCATGAGATGCGGTCACCAGAAACATAAAACGCACATACATAGAAATTATGTGGATGATTTATTCAACGATCCAAACTAAAAAGTTGTTGAACACTTTAGATATTGACATATATGGGATATTCCATACACGGAAGTAGACGACATTACAGTAGTTTAAGATTCCACTTCTGTGAATGTTGACTTAGTCGTGGAACTCCCTGAGATTGACACTTTGATGTGGAATCGACCTGATATATCATCTGATGTTGCCATGACACTGTGAGGTTGGTATGTTGGAACATAAATATAAATTTGTTGAATTAATTACATAAATATTAGATGATCACTAAAAAAAATTCATTCTGTAGCACCGGATACCACACCTCAACGACGTCGTGGAGGTCGAGGGAAGGCTAAGGCTCATGAAATAGTTGCCAGAGTGGCAAAGGATGGAAAGATCACCCCAATGTTTGACGAACGTGGAGGTACTTAGAAGGCTATTGGAAACTACGACACCTATTTCGATAGTGCCATAGGAATCCATGTTAAGGATGTTTGTGAGCCTTTTCACAATGCTTGGAAGGACATGAACATCCAGTATACGGGAGAGATTCAACAGCATCTACTTAACTTCATTGTTTTTTAATTTAATCTAAATTTCAATATAATAAAATCACTTAACATGTTTATATTGTATTACAGGAATGGTTCAATCTCGATTATAACCGCAACGATGGTTAGGTCTGTGGTCGACATGGATGTTGCAAAATGTTTTAAGGATTGAAAAAGTGATATCCGTGACTATTTTAAAGATCTTATTGGTGTAGAAAATGAGAGTGCAGTTAGGGCCCACCCTCCCAAAAACCTCAGGAATCCAGTTCACTGGGGTCATTGCTGCGATTGATTCATGTCCGATAAGTTTTAGGTAATTGGATCTCTTTTATATGTTGTTTTATTATATATAAGATAGGTTAATTTTACTAATGCTAAATCTAATCATAAATAGAAAAAGTCAGGAATCAATAAACTTAATCATAGCAACCAAAAGTGGTCGAGTTTTCATGGTCGGTTGTCGTACTCCCAACATCGCGAAAAGAAAGTAAGTATTTGTTAATAATTTATTCAAATACATTCAAACTACTATACAGTCTACCACAGCGACTCAACAGCCGATGTCTGTCAACGATAACTGATGGGACATGCATCATCGTGGGGATAATTGGGTTAATCCCCAAGCTGAGCAGACTTTTGTAAGTATACTCGTAATGTTTAATTATATTTTTTATTTAAATCAGATTATGTATATAATTATTTTTTTATAATATTTGTAGTATCTGATGGAGGGAGAAAGAGAAACGCAGATCAAACACAGTCTACTACTTCTGGATTATCCGCAGCAGGAGCTGTTCACGAGACTAGAATGGAGTGGGTCGCACAAGACTGGGCACACGCAGAGGATATTATGGAGCAGTTTCTGGGCATCCGCAGAGGACACAAGACTGGATTGGGTCGTACACTCCCATAAAGGGTTTATCGCGAGGGGATGCGTCGTCATCTGCCCCATGCTCGGCAGGATCTTCTACGACAGGTTCGGACCCACACGTACAAGAATACTTGCAACAGAGTTACCAGTAGAACCTCCAGATGTACGAGAGCGTCAGAATGCTACAGCACTTCTTCACTCAAATGCACCCCAACATTTAGTTCCTATCGGTTACTCCTCATGTGTCGTATGTCTGTCCAGGTCTTCCGTCTCTGAATCTTTCCGATGACAACGACGATGATTCTAGTGACGCTGCTAACTTAGGAGATTAGATTGTTATTAATGTAAATATTTTTATTTCCATACATTTCTACTATAATTACATTTTTATTTTATTTTATTAATTAATTTCTACTATAATAATTTTTATTCTTATTTTTTTATTATATATTTCTTTTTATTTAATTCGTCTTTATTATTATAATATCATGAATTATATTTAATATTGGGTTTAAATATATAGTAATATACAACATTAATTATTAAAATGAGAAAAAATAAATAAAAAATTAAAATATTTTTTGCGATGACAAATGTAGTCGCAAAAAATATAAGTCACGTCAGCTAATTCTACATTTCGTATGATGACTTAATTCGCAAATTGTCGTCGCAAATACTTAATGTCATATCAACTTAATGATGCAACCGACGGCATAATTGCAGTGACTCATTTGCGACTATGACCTTGCGTACCTCCTTTCCGTAGAAATCGCCATAGAAAATAGTAACTGCAGAGTTTTTGGTCTCAATTGGATAGTTTCCAGCGAGCAAGTTCTTGAGTATCGATTCTGTGTTGACTTGTGCGACTATTAGCCGCAAGTCCTGAACAACGCCGGTGAGAAGCCCAACCAAACACTGGGAAAATGCAATGAGCAAGTTGTTGTCATTTTGCACACCTGAAAACGTTCCTCCATTGCTCTTCTTTGCTATCTCTAATTGCACCTATATTAATAAATTAATAAATTTGTAAGGTTAGGTTAACACTAAGGTCCCATTCATTTTGTTAGTTCTAATCACAATTTTAATTTTTACTATTGCGATTTATCTCACAAAAGCACCTATATTAGTTATAATACTATATCGATGACAAATTAATAAATTAGTAAGGTTTGGTTAACACTAATGCCCATTCATTTTGTTGGTTCCGATCATAATTTTAATTTTTACTATTGTGGTATATCTTTAAATTCAACATTTTATGCTGCAGTGTTTTCTCTCACCTTAATTCACTTTTCAACTGAAGACCAGTGAAACGAATAAGGCATAAATTTTACAAATTAAATACATATGCACTTACCCTTTGGTCGTGGCTTGCACCAAACCCGAATGTGTGTACTGGCACCTTGCTAACATCAACCTCGGCAGCTTTACCTCTATTTTCGGCACCCACACGCCCAGGCGTAAAATGGCGGTCATTGAGCACTTTTAAGGCCATTCTAAGGCCCTTAGCAATATTTTTTTTACTATTTTTGGCTTTTAAAAGTTTGATCTCCTCTATAATCTCGTCTTTAGAATCTTTAGTCATCTGGTGCAGTGGGAACAATCTGATCGAGCTGTCAAAGAATGTGACAACCGAGAAACGATCAACGGGGCTAAGTTTCTCAACGACCAATTTCGTGGCGATTTTCAATTTGTTTAACTTGCCTCCCTCATGCATGCTTCCACTGATATCTATTACCATCACAAGATCAAGTCCATGTCTTCCGTTGATATCTGCAGACTCCTTCAACTCTAGTAACACTTTAAATCTGGTTTCTTCAAGTGGTGCCTCCATGAGGTTGATGACTTCAATCTGTATTTTTCCCGCTACAAATGTTGGAGCTTTTTTCCCTCAATTCTACAAATGGAAAGGAAAGATGATTCACAGTTAACTCTTAATTAATTAGAATCAAAAGTTTTGAGTGCATGTAAATTGTAATGAATAAATAAATAAATAAAAAAAAGCTTGCTATGTGAATGAAGAAACGAAGAAAACATAAACCTGAAGAGAGATCTTTGAATATGTCAATTTGCTCATCATCGTCGAAGCTCATTTTCCCAAAACAAACTGATAACACTACTAATCAATCTGTTTGAGGAGCTATCTATGCGCCAAATAATTCAATCAATAATTTATCATTGAAGAAAAATAGAAAAATTATATATTATTATTAGGTTTAATTATAATAATATACTCTTGAACAAAAAATGTTAATATTTCTTTGTCCTTGTTTCTGCATGTTCAGATCATGAAAAGAAATTATGTACCTCACAAAGTGTTCAAATCTTGTGCTTGATTATTGATCAATAAAGGCCGTCTGGAAACCAATTAAACACGAGAAAAGAATAATCAACCGACAGACGAGAAAATTTACATCCTAATTAAGTTGAATGGGCCCATTGGTAGAAGATTAATTCTCTACCAACACTGCCAAATTTGATTAAAAAAGAACGAAAAGCTGCAAAAAGTTATTTTCGGCAACTTAGGTTTAGAAGGAAAAGTGATATTTTATAATTAAGGATCCTCAAAAGTGGCATTTCTGTAATTAAATCTCAATGTGAACAGTAAAAAACATCCAAATGCCAAGTCTAAAAGAAAACAGTTCAAATTGATATAATCAAACACCAACGTAAACTTTATTATACGATGAGATTTTATACTATCAAACGGTAATTCAAACCTCAGTTTGAACCAAAAAAGTTCAAACTTCTTTGAAAATTTTACAAACTAAATATGCAAGAGCATGGCACGTGTGTCCGTGTACTAATTAAAAATAAGCAAAGTGTTTGATACAAGGTAGTGATTACGAATTATACTACAGCAAGATAAAGCGAAGGGGGAGAAAACGAGTCAAATAGCTAGCAGTTAGGATCTTAAGAAAAGAAAAAAGAAATCTAATGATTAGTGGGGGCAAAATTCAAGAAGAAATAGTATGGGAAAATTAAGAAAAAAGATTAACTATTAAGCATATGGCCAACACTACCGAATTTTAAAAAAAGAAAAAAAAAATTACAATACTCATCAAAACAAAGGTTTTTTTTTTTTTAAAATAAACACGAGTAAATACAAGTAATCAATAGAAAAAGCTAACACAAGTCTGTGAAAATATATATATATATAAAAAGATTAACTATTAAGCATATGGCCAACACTACCGAATTTTAAAAAAAGAAAAAAAAAATTACAATACTCATCAAAACAAAGGTTTTTTTTTTTTTAAAATAAACACGAGTAAATACAAGTAATCAATAGAAAAAGCTAACACAAGTCTGTGAAAATATATAT